AGATATTCAGAAATTTCATCATCGACCGACTTTGGCGCTGATGCAAATGACGCGTCATCTTCCCAGTCTGCGAATCGTTCTGTGCTTTGCTTTTTGGCTGGTGGTGGCTCATCCTCTGCTGTGGCTGGGACCAGGTCAAACTGCATCTTCTGAATAATATCCTTTGCGCCTTTAAAAAAGGATTTTATTCATATATTAATTAATATTTATTTAAAAAATGGCTTGTGTCATTCATTTAGCTATTATGCCTCTCATTCATTCTTATTTCTCCTTCTATTTTTAAAATTCATTTTAAATATAATTTTAATTATAACTGCATTGCATGCCATTTTCTGTTTTTATAAAAAGCTAGGCAGCATACCTTTAATTACATCTTCTCTTGCGTCTGAGGGCAGCATCCGTAGCAGTCGCATTTTAGGAGTCAGCAGTGTTGCAATCCTGTACATCATGTGGAGAGGGGATGCAGATGTGTCACTGGTGCCCATAAGTTCTTCCAGACGTGAGGCACACACACTGGCGACTTTAGAGAGCAAGGGCTCGTGGGATGCAGCTTGGCAGTGTTCAATGAGTCTCACAGACCACGGCAGTGGAAGTGATGCGCTGGGAGAGGAGTTGTCGGATTCTAGGTCATTAGTAGCATCCTTAAATAACTTAAGAAATGCAACTACTGTTTTCAGAGTGTTTCCATTGATCTGCACAATTCTTTCATATTGGTTATTGCTCAGCAGTAATGTGGAGATTTCCTCATGCTGTTGAAGTATGGAATCCAACATGTCATAATTTGAATTCCATCGGGTCTCGACTGACTGCTTGAGAGATTTTTTCAAGTTGTTTTGCAGACCTGAATGTTTGAAATATTTCACCAGTTTTTTTGCATTGGTCAACAGTTCAGACAGCTCAGCAGTTTCATCCAACACACCTGGTGAAAATGCACTAGACAGAGTGACGTTCAGGATGTGCGCGTTGCAGTTCAGCCTTGTGTATCCACGCAGGGCAGCAACTATGTTGGCTCCACGGTCGGTAACAAACACAACACGGCCAGACAGGAGTGTCGCATCTATTCCAAACTCACGGAGTTTCTGGAAGAGCAGGTTCCTGATATTCTCCCCTGTTTTTGACACACCGCTCTCGAACGGAGCAGCAAATAACACCCTGGAAACTAGGTTGAAGTCGTTGTTTGCATAATGGATGGTGCCGGATATAAATGACGTTTTATGATAATCCTCCGTCCAGATATCTGTTGTGATGGCGCATCCGTACGTTTCAATGATGGGCCTTATCTCCGCTGCCACTGACGCCTGCAGCGCTGTTGCTCGCCCCTCGACATGTCTGGATACAGTGGTTGGATGAGGCAAAATATCTTTTACATCAAATTTGCCATATTTAGCGGCAACATTAACAAAATGTTGCGCTATGTCAACAAAGCCTTTCCCGGCAACAAAATCATACGGCCGTATGTCTGCGCAGCACACTTCCACACATTTCTCAGCAGTTTCTTGTTTAATTTGTGCAGGGAGAAGTGGTTTATCCTTGAAAAGCAGCTTACTTTGACCGGGGAGAACAGAGCAGGAGTGCCGCCTCAACCCAGAGGTGCCGGATTTGTGTCCGTTGTAGACGAGTATTTTCGCGCATTTGTCGCAACTGACAAAGTCCAATTCGTTTCCAGCTTTGTCACAAACAATTGAGAAACTCCTCCAAATGTCTGACTTGCCTTGCTTGATTTTCGTGTCATAAAGACCTTGTTTTAGCTTCCTTTCAACGTCAGTTGCCGACTCCATCATGCTTATCCCGATCCCGCACTGTTTTTTTTAACCGACCGTTCCCGCCCGCAGCAAAATTCAAACCGCCCGCTCCCGCGAGATTTGTGTTGGGTCCCGCGGGACCCGGCGGGACCCAATCCCAATGCAGCCCTCTAGTCCACAGCACAGTCGTAAGGACGGTGAGGGGGCAGGTTCTTAGCACGAACCTTACTGAACACCGCAGCCAAGTCTGTATACTCGGGGGGAACATTACTGATGTCAGGTGGTTCCAAGGGAGGCTGGCTAGAAACAGGGCGAACAGGAGCAGCAGACAAACAGTTCAATAAACAAAAAGGACTCCACGTCAACACGCGGCCAGAAACCCAGTCAATATGGGGACAGTGTTTGCTTAGCCAGGGGTAACCCAGGATCACAGGAGGCACTAAAGAGTCAACCACAAAAAAACACATCCGCTCTGTGTGGTTCCCAGAGACCGTCACAGTGACAGGAACAGTGCGTGCAGTCACCTTGTGGATAAGGGAACCATTTACAGCATGGATGGACAATGCAGGAAACACCTCCTTGACTGGAATCAAAAGTTCGCTTACCACTGCCTGGGACATCAGATCCCCATCAGAGCCGGAGTCAATAAGGGTGACATATTCACCGTGTTTCGTCCCATATGTCAACCGCACACTGGTGGGCGGTCGTGAGGGCGGAGAAAAGGATGACACCCGACCCGCTAGCTGCATGGGCTCCGAGGGCGGGGCGTCACTGCCCAGGTGAGAAACACTCACAGAAATCGAGTGAGGACGAGGTGAAGAAGTCAGTGGGCGGAGTTCATCATGAAGGCTCTCCATCCTCCGCCGATCGATGCGTACAGCCAGATCGATAAGATCCTCCAGCTCCTCAGGAACCTCCCTCGCGGCTAGCTCGTCCTTGAGCTCGCTGGAGAGCCCCTGAAGGAAGATGTCGACCAGTGCATCATCAGGCCAGCGGGAGCTTGCCGCCAGCGTCCGGAACTGTACTGCATAGGACGCCACGCTGTCATCTCCTTGTTTGAGCCGGAGCAGCTCAGAAGCAGCCGCGCGGTGCGGTGTTGAGGGATCAAACACCACGAGGAGTTGAGTGGAAAAGGCCCGGAAGGAACGAACCACCTCCGCTCCACGATCCCACTCAGCCAGCCCCCACCTCTTGGCTCTGCCCTTCAGGAAACTCAAGGCAAAAGCCACCTTGCTCTGCTCCGAGGGGAATTCGCTTGGATTAAAGTCAAAATGGAGCCGGCAGGAGGTGAGGAATGGTCGACAATCCTCTGCGGTACCAGAAAAAGTTTCAGGACGACCCAAACGAACCTGTCGAGGGGGAGCAGGCGCTTGCTCCAGTCTGGCTACACGTCCATGCAACTGCTGCAACCCTGACATGCAGCTGCGGAGCTCCTGGGTCAGAACAGGAAGGCTGGCTTCTCCTGCAGCACCCTCACTAGAGGCAGGTAAGGAAGGGTCTTGTCTCTGAGTTCTTCCTGCTGGGTCAGACATCTTGGTGGAGTTGTAATGTCACGGTTTGCCTCTGCAGTAACCCATTTGCAGGAATAAAGATCCTTTATCCAGAGTTCAAAAAAAGATTTAATAAACAAAACTTCCTCCACTGACTGTGGGAACCAAAAACCAAAACCAAACTCAATCCATACAAGTACAACTCAGCAAAGACAACTCCACACTGATGACTGGCAGCAGTGGCCTGAAGTAGGGTGAGGGCAATCAAGATGATGTGGTTCAGCTGCAGCACTCCAGGAGGTTCACAGGGAAGGGGAGGATTCCTGAGAGGAGCTGCAGCTGACCTGAACAAAAACAACAGAGAAAAAGTTAAACAGAAACACAAAAAGGGGCGAATCATAACACTCCAGTATCCGTTCGAGAGGAGAACAATGGTTGAAAAACGTAATGTCAAAGAGCTTGGACCAGATCAGCCCGAAGTAAAGATAAGCCAGCAGGACAAGGAGAAGGGTAAACTGTACACACGAGGCTTCTCCCAAAATTGGTACACCAGGAAGGCTTGGCTAGCTGGATGCAATCACGCTAATGCTTTTTGCTTTCTGTGTTTGTTATTCAAAACGACTGGGACAGATAAGGCATGGATTGTGTCAGGAGTTACAGACATGAAACATTTTTCTGAGAAGGTGAAGAAACACGAGTCATCCTGGGCACACATGGACAACACGGTGAGCCATGCTAGGCAGAGCTAACATTGCCATGCAGCTCGACGAGGGAAACGGAAGAAACGGAGGACGTTTGGCCAGGGAGAACAGCAGCTGAGTGCAGAGGTAAGTTGTACATTACATTTCTGTGAACAAGACAATCAGAATCAGAAATCCTTGGTTGTCCCACAAACCGGGACATTTGTTTAATAACATGTACATTGTTTAATGTGCAATAACTGTAAAAACTCATTTCAACACACATACTTATTATACATATTTAATCGTGTAAATGTGTATTTCATGTACATTTGTACATACATATATCTGATTCCATTTTACTTGTTACACTTCTGCTGAAGCAAACAAATTTCCCAGCTTTTGGGACAATAAAACATTTCTGATTCTCGATGAGATGTTTTTACATTTGAAGTAAAAACATCTCATTGAGAATCAGAAATGTTTTAGTGTCCCAAAAAGTGGGAAATATGACATTTGTAAGAGGATACTGATGACATTATTTCCTATGAAAGTGTTTCCTATGTACTTATCTGTTGTTTTTTATTTATCATATGACAGGTTTGTGACACCATCCTGAGCCATGCAAAAGAGCAATTTCCAGTGTGCTTTTTGTTTTTTATTAAACATGTGTTTTTTTAAATTCAAATATTCTATGTTCTTAGCTGTGTGTGCTATATCTGATCAGTGGTGGTTAAGAGTTTGGACCCTGTGTATTAAATTACACTAGTTTTTCCGTGCTCTGTATAAAAGTAGGAAATTACTTCATTAGAAAAAATATATGCATTTTGTTGACTAAAATTGCTTATTTTTATCGACTAAAATTACTTGTTATTTTCGTCGACTAAAATGGGACTAAAACTAAAATAAATCTAATGACTAAAATTGGACTAAGACTAAAATTAATTTTTAGCCAAAAGACTAAGACTAAAATAAAATTAAAATTTCCTGTCAAAATTAACACTGCATGTTATGTGTTTATTAGTCCCATTCTGAACACTCAGGTGTGTTTTATTCTGTTCCAGCAGGTGGCGCTAGTGCACCTTTACGCTGGTCACCGACCACCAGAAGAAGCAAAAACCAGAAGCTGCTAGCAGAGCTAGCTTGTTGTTGTTCTGGTGTGTGAGGAGAATATTTGAGGCTCTGCAGTAAAAATGTCTTCACTTCAGTCTCTGGGAGAGTTGATCAGCTAAAGCGACTAACTGCTGCTGCTGCAGAAATCTTCTCACCAGGCTGTGGAAACTTTCTTCTCCTCAACAACTTGGTGGAGTTCTTTCCAGAACCAGAGAAGATATTCTGCGGTCGTCGTGACAATCGGAGCTCCAGAATCAGGTTGTGGGTCAGAAAAGTTTTTCTCTAGACTTCCTGCCCTCTGGATCTGCTGCTGTTCCTTTGCCCAGAACCAAAGCGTTGGCTCTTTAATCTACTGCGTTGTTCTGAAGCAGCATCTTAATCAGCTCTCCTGCTTTGTTTCTATTGCAGCTGTTAGCTAAACACGGCTAAAGAAAACCTGCTACCACTTCAGGATCATCCATCAGCTGGGACTGATTCATCGTGTGTTCTTCACCACCTGGACCTGGACAGCATGCACACAGGTAGGTCTGCCACCTTTCAGATATGTAAATAAGTAAATGAGTTGGAGGAGTGGTTTTTCTCTTAGACAGCTGTGTTATTCACACAGGTGTGAAACATCTGTAAAAGCCAGATCTGGTGCAGGAAAGTGGCTGAACAGGAAGTGGGGATACACTTTGCCTTCTGCGGTTGTAAGTGATGATAATAATAATAATAATAACAATAATAATAATACATTAAACTTGTATAGCGCTTTTTAGGTCAGTCAAAGAGGCTTCACAAAAAAATGCAAGAAACACATAATAAAACAACATGAAACATAGTAAACAGACTGGGGGATGCTGTGTTGATCTTAAGAGAAGGCCAGTTTAAAGAAGTGGGTTTTAAGCAGTGACTTAAAAGTAGAAAGAGAGACGGCATTCCTGATGTTTAGTGGGAGAGAGTTCCAAAGTGTGGGGGCATCGGCTGCAAAGGCTCCATCCCCCGTGGTGCCATGTTTTGTTCTGAAAGGGGAAAGGAGGTTGGAGTCAGCAGAACGGAGGTGCCGGGAAGGAGAATGGCGATGGACTGATTATGTTTTTGATTTAAAAGTTGTGAAACTATTCAGTATTTCCGTGCTGCAATAAATGGTCTGCAGCGCTAAAGACAAAAACAAAATGCTTACTACAGCCTCCACATGTGACTCCAGAGTGCAGTCGCTAAGTCAACATGCAGCTCAGTGAATTTAATGTCCTAGTCGAGTGGGTGGTGGTCTTATGGAAACATGAGAGCAAGTCAAATTGCAACTTTAAGAGCACTCTGAGCAACAGTTGTTTTTCTACACATCTGTTTTTGATTCACTGCACTACAGACAGGAAAATATCTCAGCTACCATAGCTGTAGATCACACTGGATAACTTCCTGTGGTTGCATTTATTTGACTTATTTTATTTTACTTATATTTTACCGCCTCTTGCATGAGCTGTCTTTAGTCCATTTCCAATACAAATACAGACAGAAGGACAATATGGGACCAGCTCAGTGGCCTTGTGGTAGTGTCCTCCCTGGGACTGAGATCAGGTTCCATTCTCGGTCGGGTCATACCAAAGACTTTAAAAATGGGTCCCAATGCCTCCCTGCTTGACACTCAGCTTTAAGGGGTTGGATTGGGGGTAAAACCACCAAATAGTTCCCGAGCCCAGCCACTGCTGCATCTCACCACTCCCCTCCAATGAGATCACCAGTATGAGATGATGACTGTGGGACTTTCTCCATTTTCTTCTTCTTTAATGCGTTGCATCACCACCTGGTATCAGAACAGGACTCAGTATTGGAAGATAATCAAAAATCAAACAACTTGGATTCAGATCAGGGGCAAAAATGTGGTTGTAACATAAGTCAGCTTTAAAAACTAAAACAACTGTTTATGAAATAACATTACCTTAATTAATGACATATTTTCCTAGTTTACATTATGTTGTTTGAAACCAAGGCTCTCATTATCTGAACTTTTTAACTTGCTGGATCGTGAATCTGTTTAAAAATGTTGCTCTATATGTGCCCCTTTTTTAACTTTGACCACCCGCCCCTTCAAAGGTCTCTGCACGGCCCTGCTCTATCTGCTTCCTTTACAGCACCTGCTGAGCTCATTTAAAGGAGTCTCCTACCATCTTCACACGGATGACATCCAACTGTACATCTCCTTTAAGCCCCATGAGATGTCTAAGCTGCAGCTGTTACTCTCCTGCTTACCCCTTCTTTCCACCGGAGCCGTCAGCAGCACGTTACTGCAGCAGCAAGTCATAGCTGCTGATAGGAACCGCTGTGGTCAACAGAACCTTTTCCACCGGAGCCGTCAGCAGCGCGAGTCGGTCACGTCTCAGGAGCAGCATGTCGCGGCCCTTACGTGCTGGTTCTATTTTCTACGCGCGACACCTCTGAAACGGGTCAAGTTCGACAGTTTTGGGGAAGGAAAGACAGGAAATCGGACGCAGGAACGGAGCGAAGCTCCCGAGATTTTCAGAATAAAGAAACGTACTGCCTTCCGGTTGCTTTACTTTAAAAAAAGTTACTAACTGTGCGGCCCCGTGAGAAGTTATCACCTAGCTAGCGGTCTCCTTTGTTTTTCAGGTCCGTATTGGCGATTATAAAACGGACAGAACGTAAAACACAAACATTTTGGAGCCATGTTGTAGTTTTCTCCTGCTTGTTGTTGTGTTTACTGACGAAGTCACTCGTGTGACTTCGTGCTCTGTCGGTGACAGCTGCTCCCCTGCTGCTTCACGTCTCGTGGGAAGGGCCAAGCAGCAGCTTACGCGAGTATGACGTGCTGCTGCAGTAACGTGCTGCTGACGGCTCCGGTGGAAAGAGGGGCTTAGACTCTTATCAAAACCTGGATGGCTGGGAGCTTTCTACAGCTGAATGAAGATAAGACTGAGATCCTCATCTGTGCCCCAGACAAGCTGGTTCCCAAAGTCAGAGACTCTCTTGGTCAGCTTGCTTCTCACACCAAACCTTCTGTCAGGAATCTTGGTGTGACCTTTGACCCAGGTCTCACCCTGGATTCTCATGTCGGTTCTCTTGTTCGCTCTTCCTTCTTCCATCTCAGGGACATTGCTAAGCTGAGTCCCATTCTGTCCCACTCTGAACTTGAGACAGTTCTCCACACCTTCATCTCCTCACGCTTAGACTACTGTAACTCTCTTTTCACGTGTCTGAGCAGAACCTCCCTGAACCGTCTACTAGTGTTGTCAAAAAAATCGATACCTAGATATAAATCGATACTAAAAGTGGTATCTAAATTATATATACCATCCCTGTGGTATCGATATTATGGACTATTATACACAGGAATGTAGTTTTGTTTTTTTAACAGCGGCACCGGCGCAGATCCAAATCTGTCAGAGTTAGTGTCCTCAACATTTACCAAGTGGTTCCGCCTTAATGTGGTACTGCAGGGCTGAGCGCTAGAGTTGTAACCTGAGACAGAACTGGAACCGAATCAGCCCGACCGGTTCTGTTGGATTTGGGCCGTGAATTATGTTAACTGAGTGGGTTGTCATGCAGCGCGCTCCGCTCGCTCGCACAGCAGCTGAGAGAGAGACTGTCTGCTCACACAAGAGAGAGGATCGGAGGACGCTCCTCCAAACCGATGCTCCAATCACGCGTTATCATTTTCATAATTTAATTATTATTTCTCCTGGAAGCGCTCAGTCAGGCCGAGTGTTGTGATGCCGGGAGATCCGGTCTCGGGGGAGGGGGCGGGGTCAATGACAGCGGCTGCAGCGTAATCATCTGTCTCTTTTATTTAGGGACACGGAGAAGTTAAAAGGAGAGAGAAATAGAAGTTCTTGTTCCACTTTATTCTTTTGTTTCATGATGATAAACTGATGTTAAATTCAGCTTAAAGAGAAACTGGGAGGAAGCATTGGTTCATTTTAAGTTACAGGAGATCTTGTTTCCTATCTGCTCCTCCAGAGACAGCATGGACATGAGGGTTACATGTAGGGCTGCAACTAACGATTATTTTCATAATCGATTAATCTGTCGATTATTTTTTCGATTAATCGATTAATCGGTTTGTTATTGTTTAGCTATTTAACCTATACAAGTGATGAATACATTTCAGTTAAGAAAAAGAAAAACATAAGAGAATTGTGCAGTTGACTGCAATCTATTTTATTGCACATGACCACAGTCAGCAGTGTAAAATGAGCTAAACAGTGCAAAATATCAGTCCAGAATAATTTTTTGGCATCAAAATATAAGAGGTAAATTCCATAAAAAATAATGTAGAATCTGGAATAGAGTTTGTAAGTGGTATGCATTGCTGTGGGTGAGTGTCTTGTTCCCCATGTAGTTGTCCATCGTTGCTTGTTTTTTTCTGCATAAGAAACACAAATAAACTGAATTAAGTACACATATAAAATAAAGCAGCACACACACTACAACACTAAATCAATATTACATTATTTGAATTAATTAACAATATACAGTGATCATTTATTTTGACAAAAATGTGTTGTGAGGCGTTTTACAGCGTTAGATAGTAAAACAGCCTTTTAATAGTTAAAAAAAGGACTTTCTGAATTTCTCCTGTATTTAAAAATTGAAAGTACAACTATGCCGCGTTATATTCACCTGGACACAGCTCGTCTGTATATTTTTCTCCGCGGAGTTGTCCTTTTTTAAATGAGGAACACAGTTATGGGTTTGTGCCGTTTTTCTCTTAACGAGAACATTCTTATAAACAGACGTGCTAAATTTGGCAAGCGCATGATTCACAACACAGAGGAGATTCACGATTGCATCTAGTCAATCAGAAGTAGAACACCGTAAACTGACGCGGCAAAGAAAAAAAAAAAACATGTTTAACATCCACTATAACGAACTCAGCTAACACTAAGTCCCAAATGTGATCTGCGTTAGCTTGTTTATTTTCTGTTACTTACCGGACATTCCTCTGCTGCATCAGCCCCCACGTTTTCGTCTCAAATGTTCACTTAGGGATGTCGTGCTTCCGTCGTGCCATGGTTTTTGCATATTTTGTAGGTCACCGGTCTTTTCAAGGCATCTAGTGAAGTGCTCCCATACTCGTGAGGTTTTTGTCCGGGGTTTCTCTTGTTTTGTCGCTTCTATTTTTCTTCCGTATTTGTTGTTGATCCGCCATCTCTCACAGCAAGATGCGCGTCAGTAACGTGATACGTCATGAAAACCGAGGGCACTTATTGGCTAATTTCTTCTTCTACGGCCCCACTGGTAGATCAGTGGCTCATTACTGCCACACACTGGCGGCAAATTTAACAGATTGTAACCGATGTTAGATTGTGGTAAAAAATAGACTTTATGCGGTAAAATATGATTATTAAACAACTAATCGATGACTAAAAAAGTTGTTAACTATTTTAATAATCGATTATAATCGATTAAATCGATTAGTTGTTTCAGCTCTAGTTACATGGTGAGGATGACACAGGACAGGTTAGTGGAAAGGTTTGTAGTTAGCTGGTTAGTGAAAGAGATCCATCAGCTGGGTAATTTAATCCTAATCCAGCCCACAGCCTTCTACTGGTCTTATTATCAGAAAGAATAAAACACACATCTTAAATATTATTGAAAGTGTAGAATTTGTTTGATGTTTTATTATTTTCTGCATCAAACAGAACTTGATTCATTCTCCCAACATTTCAGAAATGAACCACTGGGTTCAAAT